GGAGGAGGAGGAGGAGGAGGAGGAGGAGGAGGAGGAGGAGGGAGCTACAGGCCTGAATTAACTCACTATTAACTAACCGAGTTACAGGCCGATGATGACGACTCTTCATTGTCATATTTTAATAATAATTTTAGGATTTTTGCCTCTGCAGATATGGTAATTCAGTGGCAATGCTAGAAGATCTCTGGGAATCACATCCAAAATCGGGGAGCTGGGATTTTAGGTACCTTACATCCCCCGTGTGTGTGTTGTTGTTTTTTTACCTCATTCCCTTTCATTTGAGCCAATTCTGGAGTCTCTGGGACGAGGTCAACGAGATCGTCTGTCCTCTGGTCTTCTTCCGGACCCAGCAGAGGCCCAGAGTCCATCCGCCGCTTCCTGTTGACATCCAAACCTTTCGAAAGCAGAGTGACAGCGGGCAGCCCTCCAGGGTTGGCTTCCAATGGCTCTTTCCTGGCAGGGACCCAGAGATCCAGGCTGGGAACCCTCCAGCGACCCGACCCCTTGGGCTGGTGGGCCTTGGGCCTCTCCTCCTCCTCCTCCTCCTGGGCATCCAAATCCAGGTCTGAATATTCACTGCTGGACTCCGAGGGGCTGGAGCTCCATCGGTGGACACGTCGGCGCCTCGGATGGCGCTTGTTTCCTTCCGTCTTCCTCCTGTACCTCTTTAACACAAAGGAGAGAGCTGCAACACAGAGCAAGGCACTCGGGGGAGGCAGTGTGTGTTTGTGTGTCTGTGTGTGTGTTACCGCAACACCAGCATCACCCTTTCCTTCTAATGGTGGATCACCCTTTCCTTATCCAGTGGTGGATAACCTTTTGGGGCTCCCGTGCCGAAAACTGTGCGCGAAATCCTGCGCACTGCCGCTTCCTGCACATGCACGCCAGACCCCCAACAATCAGCTGTGGAGCAGTGGGGCCCCTCAGGGCGACCCCTCACATGCCGGCAGAAGTGGCTTTTCCGGCAGGGGTGCCATAGATTCGCCATCGCGGTTCTAAAGCATCTCACAAGGGCAGAAAGTACAGCAGGGAGTCCTCGAGTTACGACCCCAATTGAGCCCCAACATTTAAGCTGCCGAGTGGAAGTTTTGTTAAGCGAGTTTGTCCATTTTACCCCTTTTCTCGCGACCCTTGTTACACGTGGGTCATTGCCCGTGTTAAGCTAGTCACACAATTGTTCAGTGCATCTGGCTTCTCTGTTAACCCCTTTTTCAGGGCCGTCGTAGCTTTGACTGGCCACTAAATGAATGGTTGTAAGTTGAGGACCGCCTGTAGTATTTCTTGGGATATCGTTCCTACCACTTGTTTAGCAGGGCACAACCAGCCCAGCTTCAGCCTTTGTGTGTCAGACCCAATCCACAGCGTGATGGCATCAAAGCAGACTTAGATCTGGCGGGACAGGAGGAGTGGGACCTCACCCGTAAAGAGTGTTGTGGCCTACTGGCCGCCAGCCCCTGCAGCAGCTAAAGCAGAGGAGGAGCAGGAGGCATGGGACAGCATCAAGGCAACTGGAGAGGGGGAAGAGGGAATGGAGCTGGCAGAGAGAGGGGGAGGGGAGCCTGGGCCTCAGATGGAGAGTCAACAGCCCCCAAGTCTGGAGGTGGCTGGTGAGGAACAGCCGGGTCCAGTGCCTGACGCGCAGGTGCGCAGAAGGCAGAGGAGAGGAGAGCCGAGGAAATCTATGGGCCGGTCCTTGGGACGGAAGAGCCACTGCTGCTAGCAAAGCCCCACCCAGGCTCTGGGGATAAAAGGCAGAGGGTGAAGATGAAAAGCTGTGGCAGACAACTATTCATCTTCTGGCTGGATGGACTTGCTAGCCTGCTGTGAGAGAGAAACTTGGCACTCCTAATAAAGGAATCTTTGAGTTCCCTTCAGAGGGTTTGTCGTGTTTGGGGAGCTGGGTCAGAACAGATAGGCATTCTCAAAACCAAACAAACAAACATGGCATAAGGAAGAGCTGAACTCACTCGATACCCCAGCAAGATTTTCCACTTGCTTAGACACTGAGATCCCGAGCGGTGGGGCAACTCCGAGGCTATTTTTGCCCAGTGGCCTAAAGAGATAACAGATTAACAGATAATCAGAGTTGGAAGGGACCTTATAGGTCATCTGGTCCATCCCCCCCGCCCAAGAAGGGACCCTACACCATTTCTGACAAATGGCAGTCCAATCTCTTCTTTAAGGTCTCAAGTGATGGCGCTCCCACAACTTCTGAGAGAGAACAAAGGAGTCACTTCCATCCCTGGAACTAAAATAACCTGTAAATACAGGGCAGGCTTTCTTCTTTCTGAGGATTACGCTCCGAAATCATCCTGCCTTTCTTGTAGCAAAGGGGCAAAGAAAACTTAGAAGCCATCCCAAATGAATGATGATGTCCATTAAGGCAAGATAAGCATTGGTTTTTTAAAGGGCCTGCCTCGTGGATGCTGGGGCAGGACGTACAGCCAGCTTTCTGCTATCTGTGCAAAAATCAAAACAATGGGAAGCGCATCAGGTTTAGAATTGAATAGAGCTGGAAGGGACCTTGGAGATCTTCTAGTCCAGCCTCCTGCTCAAGCAGGATATCCTATGCCATTTTAGACAAGTGACTGTCTCTAGATTCTTTTTAAAAACCTCCAGTGATGGAGCACCCACGATTTCTGGAGGCAAGCAGTTCCACTGGTTAATTG